GATATAGTATCGTAGATCAGTAATTGAATTTGTTTTTTAAAATTTAATGTTCTCTTCATAATATCTAGAAAAACAGAGAGGGAGAGAGAGGAAAAGTTTTATGATAAAATGGTAATCCAGGCAAATTAGATCAACATTTTTGATGAAGAAGAGCACTGTATGAGAGATAAATATGATGATCCAAGAAAATCAGATCCAAAAATTGATAAAAAAAATATTCAAAATGATAAATCAGAGAGAGCACGCACAATATGATTTTTGATAATACAAATAAAAAATCCAATCAGCTAACGATTAGTTAAATCAAATATATTCTATTTTAATAATAAATATATTTTGAGAATGAAAAAGAAAACACATCTAATTGATTTTATGAATGGATCATATTCAAAATATTTAAAAACTTCATCCATAATTTATGGGAGTTGTATTTTTTGAGACCATTAAGCTAATTTTTTCTTTAATTTATCGGTATGTAACATATGAGCAATTCATACAAAGATGCTTGAGTCAATCTGTTCACTTTAATTTTAGAAAAAATAGATTACAAATTTTTAAAATGAAATAAAGAGTGCTACCAAAAAAAAATAAAGAGTACTATTTTTAATTGGTCTTAAAAATACAGATTAGTGGAGATATGTATATTAAATGAAAAGGATGCGATCACCATTTGCACTAATGATTAATTGTTAAATACTCCCTCCGATGCTCTGAAGGTAATTTCTTGTTTCAAAACTGAAGACATTGCTTAGATTTTTCAAGGGCACCTATTTTTTTCTTGAAATTTTTATAAAAGTACATTAAAATTATTTGCTTCCTTACACTAAAGCTCAATAACAAAACTTTACAAATTTATTATTCAAAATAAAATTATAAAATTTAAAAAATACCTTTCACGTAATGGCTTAAATTTAAATTTATAATAATGTTTAATTCTTCTTTCTTCATTTAAGAGATAATATTTAAAAAATATTATTAATAAAACCTTATTTTTATCAAATTAATATATTTTGAAATAATAAAATTTTTTAAAAGTTACCTTATAATTTGAGATAGAAGAATATTTTTCTTACGTTGATCTAACATATTTTCCATGCATCATGAAAAGGATGAAGTTGAAAAAACTTTAAAATCTTAGCTACCTAATTGTTTCTGTTGGTAGGTATGCATTAAATAAAACTGTCTTATATTTAAAACGGTGCGAGGCAAATTAAACCAGAAAGGAGTAACGCCTCATGAGTAGGAACGAAGATGACAGCAAAATTAATGGGAGGAAGTAGCCACAGAGAATGGAAGAGAGTGAATGAAGGAACTTTTTAGAATGGAAAGAAAACGAGAGCCATTTGGCCATTCATTTCTGTGTGGGTCAGATTCGATGCTCGGAATCACCTCTCATAATAACTGCCTTCACGAACTCAACTTTCCTTTTGCAGTTGGATTGTGTTTCCTTATTTCCTTTTGCATGCAATGCATTTGCGTTCTGCAAATTCCAAATTAACTGAGTTACTATATATCCATTTCTTTATTTTTCTTTGTTTACTTTTTCGTCGCCGACTATTTTTTTTGACCTAATATATTTCAATGGCTTCATTCCCTCTGCGAGTGATGAAAGAGAGATTATATAAACTATAGGATATCATTTTGTTGAAAAAAATGACAATGAGGTCATCACCAGCTACTAATGCAACTTTAATAATTTATTTCTTCAGCCATGAGAAACTCATTAAGTAGAAACTTGTTGCCCGCATAAAATTAGTAGTTCATCATAAATAAATAAAAAAATAGAACATTAATTTTTACGTGGTTGAGTCTTCTAAAATTAAGGGTATTTAACCTTATACCTATCTTGCTTAACCCAATTCCATCCCAACCATATTGAAACGAGTTTTACCTGATTTGAAAAAAATTAGAATGGGATGAAAAGGGATTCAGGATAGATGAGATTGTTGCTCTCAGAATATTTAAAAAAGAATTAATTATATTAATAAATTATAATTAATATCAATTTTGCAAGATTTTAATGCTCAAGCTGACCACTTGGATATGGATGGACGCCAATCTAGGTTTTCATTTAGGAGAATTTCAATTTAGGATTATGGATGGATGGGACTTAAATATTAGTGGGTCGTAAAAAAATTTAAAACTTTAGTTCAATTTAAGAGAATCAAAATAAAAATAATTTTAATAGTGAAAAGATCAAACTGCCCGTCACTTGTCATGTAGTATCATCAGTTATTAATTTTCTTTCTTTCCTTATTAATTTACTAATATAAGTTATAAATTACATGAATTTACATGTAAATTAACAATTATACAAGACTTGAAATCAGTTATTTAATTACAAACAATAAAATCAATTGTTAGATTGCCAACTTGTTAATTTATTAATATCAATTATAAATTATATACTTATCAATAATTTACAACTGACATTGATAAATTAACAAATAAAGTTAACAAATTAATAATTAATGTTACTGGTTGTCTAAAAAACGGATGTAATTTATAACTTATATTAGTAAATTAATAAGTAAAGTAAGAAAATTAATAATTAATGATTCTTCACAGCAAGTGAAGGGTAATTTAATTTTTTTCACTATTGAAATTATTTTCACTTTAATTTCCCTATTTCAAACTAAATTTTAAATTTTTTTAACATCCACTAATAATTAAGTCCCATCCATAATCCTTAATTGAAATTCTCCCTCTTTATTTCTTCTACCCTAAAGAATTAACTAGTGGAGATTTGTTTAGACCTTCATAGACTTTTGACGTCTCATTTTTAGTTTTTCTTTTTTGTCATTATATTTCCTTCTTATAAAAAAATATAATTAATATAAAAATAAATTATGTTAATTATAATTTTAATATTTTTTATTCTTATTTAAAACTAAAAGTTCTTGATATTGTTAATTTTAATAATACAAAGTAAATAGTACAAGGTAGTTTCTTTTTTACAATATATTAAGGTCTCATTTGGTTGTTAAAAAAGGATGTCAATGAAATGGAATGAAAAAATTAAATAAAAAATGAACTAAATCACCATTCTCTATCATTGTAAGCATGATAAAATTTAATATTATATATTATAAATATGAGAATCATTACACCTTTTAAAAATACCATGAATTATAATTTTTTACTCCATGAACTAAATCTTCTCCCTTATGAATACAATTCATCTATCTCCATCTCCATTCACATTTTGATAATCTTATTTTTTACCTTTGGTTTTAAATTTAACAAGTTATATAATTTAATATTTTAATAAATATTGTTATCTAGGTCTCTTTGTCATGTTATCTGCTTTATCAAGACATCTTTTTTTTAACAGGAGAAGATATAGACAAGAAATTTAATTTCAAGACATGCCCATAAATAGAGCTATCAATTAGAGTTAGCCTTTGAAGGGTTAGGGTCTAAATGAACTATCCTTGTTAAGCCTTATTTTACTTTAGGGTATAATTTTGGCCGACCCTCAAGGCCCAGGCCCTATATTTTTTCTTCTTCTAATTTTCAATTTAAAATTCTAAGATAATACACACAATAACAAATTTAAGTGTTCATCAAAAGTAGCAACATCACAAAAATCAACACTGATAATAATTAAATTTTGCTAGCATCACCAATTAATTCTTGATAAGTTTTATTATCATCAAGATTAATATAATTTAATCATTCTCTTTGTGAAGTCTCATCAGCAGCAAATACATTTAGCTTTTCATATCTCTCTTTTCAATCATCATTATCTTTAGTGAGTGACAGATCAAGCGTGACTATAAAGATGCTATGGATGAGGGATAGAGCAAATGACTTGAGCTCTGAGCAAGGATGAAGGACAAAACATGGGCGCAATGATAAATCACGAAGGAAAGGAGGGTTGCCACATTGGTTGTGGTCGAAGCTGGTTGATAGATGAAGCGAGATGCAGAGGAAGAACAAACAAAGCAAGGTTGCAATCGCACTATAGCAAACACTCGCAAGTCTAGGTCACATAGGGTCAACTTTATGTGTAAAAGGTGAAATCGTGAATGAGAGCTCTAAGAAAGATTGAGACGCAAACTAAGGTTTTTACTTTTTAACTTTTTTTTTTTATATTAAAATAAAAAATAAGAGAACTTATAAGGCTTAATTCTTTTAAGCCTAATCCATCATTTTAGATTTTAAAAATGTGACTTAGCTTACATTCTTTTAACTTAAAAAGGGTTGGCCTGACAGCATGAACACCTTATCTAGAACAAACATTTATAATAATAATAATAATAATAATATAAAATTAAGGTGCGAGCAATGGAGCTTGGTCGGCTCAGATCGGCTGAGCCAGCAGGCGATCTGTCAAGACAATAATTACTGCCAATTGGTCCGCACCTCACTTTCCAATTTTATCTTTTAAAATTAAATTAGATGCGATTGTATACATTGCAGAGAAAAAATTTCCCAATAAAGAAATAATTTATATCATGCAGGGCAACGTATTTTCAGTAGGACAAGCATTATTCGAATAAATTGATATACTAGTATTATATTAATGAAAGCAATATGAATACTACAAGGATAAACTGAGAAATTTTTAAGTAAATTTGTTAGCTGCCAAACAAAAACATGATATTTAAATAATATTAAATATAAATTGGTTTTGATATTAATGATATTAAAAAAAAAAAAATTAAATATGTATTTGTTATAAAATAAATCAATTAAAATAATATCATATAAAATTTTATTTAAACGTATTAAACCATTCTAATTAGAGAGATCATGTAATGCACCTGATTTACTTAGAAATTTTTGTGACTGTAATCCGTTCTCCCCAGTATACCTCATATTAATTAAATTAATATTATTTTTTATGTTTTTAAATTTTTAAATATCTCTCATTTATAAATATGATAATATACATGATATTTGGCAAAAAAAAAAAGATATTATATGGGTAACAGCATGGCAGTAAAACACAATTTCCAAAAACCCCTGGCCATCCATTCAAAATCTCCTTTGCAAATGAAACCATAACGCCTTCTTCGGAGTGTCTCTTCTGATCTCTGTGCGCAATGGAGAAGGGCGAGAGCTCCGCGGCAGAGCAAGAATCGGAGGGAAAGCATCCGACCCAACACCATCTCACCGTCCCGTCTGGTTTGAGTCAGGACGAGTTCGAGCGGCTCAAGCACTTCGTGACGGAGCACCACACCTACTTGGTGGGCCCGGACCAATGCTCCTCCTTACTCGCCCAGCGAATCAACGCGCCGATGGACACCGTGTGGTCTGTCGTGCGTCGTTTCGACAAGCCTCAGACCTACAAGCACTTCATCAAGAGCTGCGCCGTCCCGGAGGGTTTCGAAATGACAGTAGGGTGCACGAGGGAGGTGAATGTCATATCCGGTTTACCGGCGGCCACCAGTACCGAGAGGCTGGATATACTGGACGACGATCGGCACGTGACGGGTTTTACTATCATCGGAGGGGAACACCGGCTGAGGAATTACCGGTCTGTGACGACGGTGCACGGGTTCGAGGGCGAGGGGAAGATCTGGACCGTGGTTCTGGAATCATATATCGTTGATGTGCCGGAGGGTAACACCGAGGGGGACGCGCGGCTGTTCGCAGATACCGTCGTGAAGTTGAATCTGCAGAAGCTCGCCTCCGTCACCGAAGCGATGACCCGTGACGGTGACGGTGACGGTAAGTCGCAGTTGGGATGAACCCAATTTTTTTTTCTTTTCTTTTGAAAAATAAAAATAACACGAATTGAGGGTTGAATCCTCACTTAAAAAAAAAAAAGGAAAGGGGAAAAGAATTTTTATGCAGAAGCTTTGTTTAAATTTTCTCTGGGATTTAATTTTGGGTGAGTTCGTCAAGTTAATTTTAATTTATATGATCACCAACCTATCCTTTTTTGGTGGATTGACTGTGATGCCCGTGAATGACTGGAACGAGTTTGTGTCTTGTAAAAATGGGACGAACGTTGAAATTTGTTGTTATAGTTGTTACACCAGCGTAAGGGTATTTCAGTCAATGCACGTGTACAGGAAATGTTGACTTCGGGATATTGATGTGTTGTACGTTTAACCATTTGTTAATATCGTTTTTATGTCTTTATTCTCTTGATTTCCGTTTCCTTAGCTCAATTCTCCTTAATCATAATTTACAAAGATAATTCAGATAATTTGCAGTCTGAAAAGATAAATGAGAATTAAAATTAAAAATAATTAAATCCCATATTTATTTCATCTCTCCCTGCCCTTGCGGTGTCATGCAAAGTTATGTGGTCAGAAGAATCAATGCTTTTTGTCTCTTCCATCGAATTTGGACATTTTCTTCCTCTCCTGTCCCAAGGCATGCTGTTGCTGGTCAGGGTTTTGTGCAATGCAATGCCATAGCTGGGAATCAATGCTACAAAAGTTTGTCATTAAAGTAGAAAGATTAAGAATAAATTATTGATGTTGTGCAATTTTTATTGGGTAAAAAACATTCTGCCTTTAATTTGAAAACCAAATGCAACAACCAAATAGTCAAACTTTCTTCCATCTATTTTGTCTTTCCTTTCAAGTCTGCTCAATTCAACCAACATGACCAATTCGTCTTCCTGGTCTCAACATTGGAGGACAGTAACAATTATTAATGATCAAGCGGAGATGAAATGAAATGAGGGATCATATCGTACGTTGGAAGCTTATAAAGGGAATTGGATTTTTTTTTTAAATAACAGGTAGAGACAAAAATATAAATATTGGAAAAGAAAAATATAAGAAATCAACCTATACCCGTGGCAGCATAACTATGAGGGCAATACCCTATGCACGTCGTTAGCTATTAGTTTTAGAGTAAAATAAAGATCAAGTTTGGAAGTCTTATTTAAACAAGGTTTGAGTTTTAAAAATTATTTTTTTAAAAGAATCAAATTTAAAGGCTTGACTCTGATAAACTTTGTGAAAAAGAACTCGGCCCGAACGATCCTCCAAATCCTGATGAGCCTATTATCTTACACCACACACATATATACATATATTTGATTGATAATGATACAATTTGGTTAATATTTATTGTAGGTGATAAAGAAGAAGTTATAAAGGTAATTGACATTGAATCTCTACTTCCATCTTTACCAAGTACGTTTGCATTTGAGAGATTTAATTTTTTATTTGTAGATGATCAGCATGAGGAAGATTTGAATTTTTATTGATGAATGTGTGTTGTTTAGATTTTTAAATATGTTGTTTAATTTTAAAAAAATTATAAAGATTTTATTTTTTAAATTTCAAATATTTTAATTATTTTTAAATTTTTAACTTAATTTTAATTTTTTAGTTGTTAAAACAAGGCTTTGAAATTCAGCCTTAAACCTGTGATATAAAAATCGAGTCTAAAAAAAAAGTTAAAAATGAAGAATTAAACTCATGAATCTGTACTCTTGAAAGTCAGCCCGCCTGTATTCTCATTTCTAATTAGTTTGAAATGTATGCATTTTGTGCTTGCCAATAAATGCAGGGAATGAAATTTCTACCGAAGTTAAAAGTTGAAAAGACGTCATGAATTTGTGACTATCTTTGACATAGGGTTAGTTGCTTCCATTTCCAGCTTGAGGTTAAAACCCCACGCTTGTGCTCAATGGGTCCCTCATTGCTCAGAAACTGTGACCGCCAGAACTCGGGCATCTTGGCCGTCCGTTCACAATCATAGGCCCTCATGATGTAGTCAGTGGTCATTGTTGCATCATACTTAATATAACGAGAGCCCTTAATGGGATGGGACATACCCTGTTGGAAGGATTAAATATTAAAAATATAAAATATTTTTAATTTTTTAAAATATAACTATTATATTTTTTAAAATAATTTTTATTACAGAAATTATTTTATATTTATTTTAAAATAAAATAATTTATTAAACAAAATAAATATAAAAATGTATAGTTAATTTTAAAATAAATAACTACTTTATTAAATATTAAAATTCGATTAAAATATTTTAATAAATTATCTTTTAAATAAAGCAATATATATTCCCCCCAAAAAAACCAAGCCTACATATGCAGTTTCAAATTCCAGGCTGCAGCATCTTTACTTAGTCGACATGGCAAAAGAAGGGATTCTCAGGAGAGAGTAAGTAGTAGCGCGTACAAGAAAGTATTTTCTAGAGCCAAAGTTATCACTATTCATAGATACTGATACGGTCAACGTCTCCATGTTTGGTTATGAAGTTTCCAGGTTGGAATGGAGGGCACTTGTAAAAATGTGGGAGCTAGCACACACACACACACACGGAATTGGACTGGCTAAATAATCTATACCATCTGATAGGATAATTTCTTTTATTTTTATTTTCCTTACTCATCCAATATTTTAGATAGACTATTTTTTAAATACAACAACAGTCCAGACTAATTTAAATTTACCCATGTTCAGGCATCAAAAGGTGGGAGAACTAGCCAAAAGACATTTTTTCATATCCAAATAGGAATCCAACCCTGACATTTGATTAAGAAAAAATGAGCCCTTATCATTCAACCATATATCCCTAATTCTGACAGCACAATTTCTAATGGAAGGGATAATTGTCAATTATCACTCCCTACCCCGTAACAAACTTGACCTCTCTATATATTTCAAGTCAAACATTGATCCATCAGTTTCTTCTCAGTGCGGTTTTTTTTTTTTCACTGTTTTTTCATTGCAAATTTAAATGGTGTAAATTAAATCTATATTCTTAAAAATTATTAAATATAAATCATTAAATTCAGTTTAATAATCCCTATTTGTAGTGTATCCTCCTTTATAAAGGAGGAAATGCATCTCCTACAATAACCATGGGTGTGTTTAAAATCATGTCATGGTTAGTTATCAAATTGGTTCACCCAATTGAGAGAAAATTAAATTAACTTATTTTAAAGTTTCGAGTTAAAATCCTAAAATATGTAGTTGTGTTTCAATAAATATGTCAAATGTATCATCTATTATATATTTATGAAACTGCCATTAGTAATAACTATTTCATATAATGGGAGTTTGAATTAACTTGAATAGGGGTTAATGATATCCAAGTTTTCCAAGATACTGGGATGGAATGGGGAAAAAAATCATGTTGAAAGGTGGGTTTAATTAAAAAAAAAAAATCAGACGTTTTGGTAAAAGCAACCCAAACATGTTCTCTTAATTTCACTATCCAACGTTTTGAATGTTTTCATAAAACTAGCTGAACTTCTTTGTGTTTTTCCCCTTCCATCGGCTTTAATTATATTGCTTGTGCGATTATCATTCTTGATTTCTATTCGATAGTTTTCTTATAAGAATTATTCATAACAATCTTTTTACTCCCTAACTATATTCAATTATTCAGCTTGCTGGTCTCTACTGCTGTTCTGAATTTATTTTCCATCTAGAATCAAACTATATATAATGAGATGATGTCTTGCATTAGATGAACATCAGCTTCCGTTGAAGTTGCAGCTAAAATGCAATAATCTACAAGCCAAAGTCCATGAACCTGAGAATCGTGTCTTGCTGGAAAAGGTTTTCTACCTCGTAGAAGAAACCTCAGAATTTATTAGAGTCGGCGAATTCAGTCTCCGCCTCGGACTATGACCTGATAAAGATGATGGAGATGGGACCATAAATTACATACATAGGTATTTATTGAAAATTTATTTTAAATTACTATATTTATATCTATGAATTCTAATTATTTCAAGTGGGACTCATAAAAGTCATCATTGTTAACTTCCTTTTTCTCTGGTGGGAGATTGGTGTTCGACAAATTTTTTCTCGGATAACAGACTAGCGGATCCATTAGTGATAGAAGATCATCAGCAGAATTAGAGCAGATAAAAAGTGGGAAAGGAATCTACCAAGGTGAATCTAGTCGACAAAATTTGGCAATAATTCACAAGTTTGCAGGGCCAAATCACTCTGTTGATGTGAGTACTTTATTGATGAATGTGTATATATCTCATGAACACTTTTGAAGTGAAGATATATCCTAATCTTGATAAGTCACAGGTTTAATTCACCTCAACTTTGGGAAAGGAACAGTGAAGTTCCTGGGAAAGTAGCGTGGGATGACGAAGAGGCACGTAAGATCCGACGTGGAAGGAGGACTTTTTGTGGTGGAATATGCGGATTAATAATAATATATATGCAGGGTTGAAGTTGAAGGGGAGGATTTGAGTGAAGCATTGACATGAAAGAGGGCTTTAAATGGAGACCACAGATTGGAGGAGAGCCAGAGGCACGTGAAGAGCAATGAGATAAAGTCTGAGGAAAGCGACTTAATTCGCTTTTGCAGATGGATGTGGATCATGCAAGTTGGCAAGTTTTTTCTTTTCAATTTTTGATCATGCAAGTTGGCAAGTTGAAGGACTTAGATTAAACTATGACACACGAATTAAGAAAGTGAGAGGAACAGACGCTCCAAAGATTCTTTTATTCGCTCAATTTGAGGATTTAAATTTGGCGAGTCATTCGACTCCATTCACTCATCTTCCTTATATCATTGAATTTCGTTACTGCTTATAAATTATTCAGATATATTTCTATTAAAAAATTTAAAACAATCTTGACGATCAAAACACTAATAACATATGTTCCCTTAAAAAATTTAATATTTAATACTTTTTAAATATTATATGGTAAAATATTTTATAACAATTTGACTAAATCGAATAATTTTTATTATACCACATAAGTTACTTATTAATCGACTGAATTTAAGTTTTAAATCTTTAATTTGGGACACTTTTTTTTATTAATCGACTGAATTTAAGTTTTAAATCTTTAATTTGGGATACTTTTTTTTTCTTTTGCCATTTTATTATTTTTATTGCTGTTGTTATTGTTGCCGTTGCCGCTGCCTCTCCAGTCACAAATAAGTGGCCACAATTACTAGTGCTTCACCTCACTCTAACTTTTTAGTTTTTCTTTTATCCAAAATACTTTTTTTAATTAGTATTGGTGGGCCCGCACTTTATTTAAGTAAGGTGTAAAAATATAATATTTTTACAATAATTATATATAGATTTTTTTTGATAAAAAAAGTTCAAGTGAATTGAGTCTCAAAATTTATCGAAACTAATTAAGCAAGTCTCTAGACTCAAAATAATTATATATAAATTTGTTTGAATTAGTAATTGTTGTGTTGATTAAAGAACTCAATTTTTGTTCAATGGATCAAATTTTGTAAATAGGAAAAAAAATATGGAAACAACTATTTTATATAATAGGGTGACAATTTAGATAATGGCAATAGATCAAAATGGATGAATGGATGTTGGTGATCTTTCAAACAAAATTGTATTAGAGATAGAGAGCATATCACTTCAATATATTTGATTAAAAAAATTGATATAGATCGGATCAATAGACACTGATTGTATTAGATTTCTAGAAGGAATTACAATCGTTTAGATATAATGTCTTAGGTTCAATTTCATGTAAATACAAAAGATAGTTTTAGAAAAATTATCTTCAATTGAGCTCAGACAAAATCTCGAATACGATACAATATTTTTTTTTTTGGATAAATTATGATACAATAGTATTAAATATAAATAACAATATTTTAGTGTAAATATCTTCTGGTCATAATCCTTTTAATTAGATTCTTAGGTATCACAGATTGTTAACCTATATATTTAGGCTGTAAAATATAATAGCACAAGTTGAGATCATGAAAGCACACAGTAGTATGTATTAGGTTTAGTTAGAGCTGTTCTGATTAATTATTATCAGTTAAACTATGAAATTTTAATTACTTCGGATATTCATCAAAACTTCTTCGCACTATGCTCCGACCCGAGCAAGATCAACATGTTTACAAGATGTACAAGATACACAATAGGTCAAAAGTCGTTTTTAATTAAAATTGTATTCAAATTTCGATTAACTGATGCCACTGCAATATAACGTAAAGGAATAAATCTAATTTAAAAGACAATCAAAATTTCCATTTAAAAATAATATATGTTTATTTCAAAATGATAAAATATTTAATAATGATTACAATTACAAATATATTATAAATTTTTTTTATTATTTCATTTTCTTAATATTAACTGACATTGATAGCTAATTAAGAAGTTTCTTAAAATGAATATCAGCTTGTTTCTCTGTGTTTGAAGCAAGATAGTTATGTATAAAGTTTACAAATAATAAAAATATTTAAGTGAATTTGAAAGAAAAAATTATACTCCCTTCATTTAAAAAGATAAAGTATTTTTAATCGAATCTCACCTTCAATAAAGTAGTTATTTATTTTTAAGCTAATCCTTATCTTTTCATATTTACCTCTATTTAATAAAGTGTTTCATCCTAAAAAAATATAAAGTAATTTATTCAATAGGTGTACTTTTTTAAAAAAGGTAATAATTATACTTTAAAAAATTCAAAATGTTTTACATTTTTTAACATTCAACCTTTTAAAAAATGTCTTATATTTTTTAATGGAATGAGTATAAATATATTGTACAATTCTTTTTATTAATCTCAAAGGACCAAGGAGGAGAACAACCCTAGGGAGGAAGTCAATATGGTGGTCATTTTCAGTAATTGGTGGATAAACTAACACGACAACAACGTTTGAATTAAATATTTTTGAAAAATTAAGTAAATGCAGCCTGTCACATGCATTAAACCTCATTTTCAGCAAAGCCATGGGGAATGACATGTTCTGTGAAATATTCCCCAAAACACAGATATTTCATATTGATCCGATAGGATAGGACCATCATCCTGGTAAAACTCCTCACGCTTTTAAATTTGAAGAGCTTTGGACCACTCATCTAGATTTTCTGCACGTTATTCGTGAGAGTTGGGGTCCTTGTGAAACTCAGGACCCTTGTATCACTAATGATTTCCTGTTTAGATTAACAATATGTAGGAGCTGTCTCTCTCTCTCTCTAAATGGAGCTCAAGAGTTTTTCCTAACAACAAGAGGCATCTGGACTAACTCAGGGGGCAAATGGCAGATTGCAAACAAGGAGTACTCACTGATGACAGAATAAAAATGGCCAATGAGCTGTCTGATCAAATTGAAAGACTTTTGGATCGAGAGGAGTTATATTGGAGGCAGAGATCTTGGGTGTGTTGGTTACAAACAGGAGTTAGAAATTCAAAGTTCTTCCATCTTACTACTGTAGCAAGGAGACAAAGGAATAGTATTTTGAGGATAAAAATGAGCAAGGTCACTGGTTGGATGATACGGTGGATATTGCTAGCACTTTCACAGCATTTTATGAGAATTTACTTGCTGCTTCTCAACATCGCTCGTTTGACAGAGTGCTTAGTTGCCTAGATTGCAAGATTGATGACAACATAAACAACCAACTTCTACTCCCAGCAAGCAAGGAGGAGGTTTGAGTGGCTGCTTTTAGTCTTGGCGTTTGATGCAGTTTGTCACTCAACCCTCAAAATTACCTAAAGTTAACCTAAATATAGTACTTAGGCCGACCCTAAGTCTTCTTTCAAGAAGGAGGTTCTAACTCCTACTCAAGAAAACTTAATGAATAGATTAATTATTTGAGTGAAGTTTTAACCTAATTAGCTATTGAATTAAAGTGCAAACTAAACTTTAAAGTATGTGATTGGCTTCCCTTATCAAGTAGGAACCTTAGGACATTGTTAATGGAAGAATCATAAACTCTAATTAATTATAGTAACTCACTCAAACTTTTCTTCCTTGGCTGAAAAAGTGATTACTCAATACAACTATCTTAAGCAACATAACCTCACTAATTCAATTTCCTAAGTGCTAAATTACAAACCCTTAAGTAACCTCACTTGCTTAGCTTAGAAATTAACAAAGTGTTTAATTGAATTTCACTCCCCAAACAACCATGGTTCAAATACAACTCAAGCACAAAACTATGCAACTCAAGCATTTAATCACACATTTACCAAATATAACTAATGAAGGTTAATGCAAGACCAAAATCACTTGAAAAATCATATTCACATGTAAATTAATCCAAGTGGCCAAAAATTCCAGAATCTAAATGAAGAAAAAAAATCAATTCGACAATCATGTTCCAATACAACCATTCATCACCAACTATGAAACTAAAGTCAAGATGAACTACAAATCAACCAAAGTCATAGTCTACAAATTAAATGAAACAGGATGAGGATTAGGTTAAGCTTAGCCAATGATGATGTTCAATGCTCCTCGTCCATCAACCTTCCTAGGATTCCATTGGGAAATTAGGTAGAAGGCACCATCACCATCTCGCTCTCCAAGAAGCTTGACCTAGATAAGTTGAGCTCTATGAAAATGGTGAAATTCAAGCTTTAATCTCTTCAAAAATGGGTGGGGTTTGGTCGGCTAAGAGAGGAGAAGAAAAAGGTGGAAGAATTTTTTAAGTTTGATGGCTGAATGTGGAGTTATGGTTATTGAAAAAATGAAAATAGTAGAGAAAAGTTGGAGAAAATGAAGAATATGATGAAGTAGAGAGAGAGAGAGAGAGAGAGAGAGAATGAAAAAGATGAATGAAATGTGTGTGTAAATCTCAATAATGAGGGTATGGGTTGTGCTATTTGGTTTCCCTTCAATTAATCCTCAATTCAAAATAAAGAAAAACAAAATAAAAGAAAATTTGAAACCATGTCAAACTGGCTAGGTGGCACCCTTTAATTGGCTTATAGATAATTCCAATGTGTGTCAAGTTAATGCCATGTATCATCTACAGTTTAAGCTGATCTAGTCCACCCAATTAAGAAGAAAAACATCCTAAGTGCTTCAGCCCTTGACCCTATGAAGCTTTGACTTCATTTGCCTAATTGATGCATAAGGCACATGTCACTTATGTCATAAAAATCACATAATTCAATTCAATAACATGTGACATCATAAAATATAATTAAAGTGCATAATTAAATTCATATTTAGAAGGGAGAATTTATTAAAATAATTTGGGTGTATAAAATCATATGAAAATTTTTACACAAATGCAAACTGAAAAATAGGTCAAACTAACACAGTTGAGAAAGTGTTAACTTTTTATTTAATTACTCTCAAACTAAAATAAATTTGCAAAATCTAATTTGACCACTCTTCTTCTACACTAAAAATATATTTTGTAAATTTTTCTTATACATTTTCTCAAAAGTTCATTTTTGAACCAAAATACCCTTAATACACAAAACCTAAATACTTAGGCAAATTTTCAAATCTAATGCAATGTGTGTGCACTTTGAGATAATAAAACCTTAATAATGGTCCTAATTGACATAAAAAGGTGTGTAATAAATGTGTTCTATCAATGCCTCTAAAGCACCTGGCCCTGATGGATTTTTAGGTAAATTCCTTCATGCTTCGTGGTCAAAAGTAGGGGAAAGTGTTTTTTTCACTGGTCAAGAATTTATTTGATGGAAATGAAACTATGGATAAATTGAATGACACTAATATTACTTTGATTCCTAAGGTTGATGAAGCTGAATTTGCATCTCAATTTTGTCCAATTGGTCTATGCAACTTCTCTTACAAAAT